ACTCATGACACTTTGTTGGAATCAGTGAAAAAATTAGTCCTTTTTCCTATGGAAAGAGGAAATACTGTTGCAAGCAATGCTGAAATTTGCTGCATCACCTGGGAATATCCCCAAGGATACAGTCAGCCTCAGAATCACATGTCTCGTCTCTGTAAATGAGAGTACATGCTTAATATGAAGTGCATTACATTTTCTTTCCAATAGTGCCTACAGTGAGTCATTCTAACCCTTGGCTTCCATCCTTTCATCCATTATTCACATATGGGCCCTCGTGTTGGGTATCAGATGCAAGCACAAAGTGGATGATTACAGTCAAGTCACATGGCTCCTCAGCAGGAACAATACACAACTTATCCTCAAAAGAACCACCACCATTAAAGCAAAACCCAGTAGAAATCAACTGAGGTCTTAAAAAGTATCAAGAAGCGGTTTCCCCAATTAAGAAGCTAAATAAAGCGTTATCTGAGAAATGTTTTCAGGAACTACTTGATACAGCTGGAATTCCTGAGCTACCTAGGATACAGCTGCAAAACAAATCTACAACAATAGGATTCAAAATCAAATTGTGGCGGGCCGAGAAAAGAAATGCTTCCACATAACAGGAAATGTTAATCAGGACAGGGCGCGGGGACTTCAACTGACAGGTTCAACATTTTAAAAAGAAACATTTTTCGAATCGCTTTTAAGACAATAGGATTGACCTTGGCAGAGAAGTGCAGTACTGCTGGGCTTATTTCATAACATAATGCAAGGAACCGTGGTGTTTAATGGTTCAGGAATTAGGCCAATCACAAATCAGTTTTCAGCAGCTTAGGTCAACCATCAATAATGATATTGGCACATCAGACCTCGTTACAAAGCTTTTATCAAACACTAATTGTTTATTTAAAGGATATCATTAAAAGGGTCATTCCCTTTTGTATAATTAGAGATAAGTAGAGATCCTTGGCTGGTTGCACACAATTTGAAGCAAGTATAACAGTTTCGAAAACCAAAAACAACAAAGTTCTGCCTTTTGCAAATGCACATTATTATTTGATTTGATAAGATGCCCATAAGCAAGTCCTAAAGAAGTAGCAGAACGTTTACCCAGTCTGACCATTTATAAGCAGACTGATTTGCTTAAAAATTACAGATTTCTGTTTGTAGGCTTTTCCTGATGGAGCTTAGCCAAGCACTCTGGGCATGGGTTTATAGAGATATATATATATATATGCACACACATTTTTATCCTTGAGGTGAGCTGGCCCTCAGATGCCCCCCCCATCCTTCTCCATAGATCAAACATGTGCTTTTGCCTGAAGCAAATGTGCTTGTTCCTAAAACAATTGTTTGAGCATGTAGAGACAAGTGGCCATCTAATGTCTGCAGGTAGCTATAGATAAGACAAGAAAGTTTAATTGATAGGACATAAACATGCACACGTATGGCAACTGAGTATTAAAGGATTTTGTACTTTGCAGGCACCCCCAGTTCTGGTCTGTGAAATCTAACAATGCTAACTGGCCTGGAAAATGTATCCAGGCCAATCAACTTTTCTCTCTCCGGCATCTAGTGTCCGTGTGATGCCTGCTGCTGTAGTAGTTATTTGGTACCCATAGACATGAGACTGTTGCCATGACAATTACCTCACCTTTTAGGAGTCCTTTCAGAGTGCCTTAAACTGATTTCCAATACACTCCCATTCATTTCTACAATTTATAGCAGTAGATGTAAATGAGTCTGAGCGCAATGGCTTCACTGCCATTGCAAACAGTTTTAAGTCTGCTTTCTAGAGAAACTGGTCTCTAAAGAAAGCACAGGTTCAAAGATACATTCTTTAAATAAATAAGAGCCTATGTTATTACATAAAAACACATTTTGTTTTACATTAATTTTTGAACAAACCGTCTTTTAATATTTTGCTTTCCTTTCACACCAATAATGAGCACGAGAAGTGGCTCTTTTTCTTATTCGACTTTGGTTCACTTTCATCGGTGACCTCAATACTGAGAAATAATGAACACTGAACATTTTATTCCCTGTGGCAGTATCATAATACAGTAGCCTAATTAGAAGCATACATGTCCTGAAATATGGGATTCTTTTGCATAGGGCAGAACACGCGGACGATAAGGCAACTCAGGAAATGGTGTTCCCACAAATCTGGATGTCCGGGTCAACACAGAAAGAGCCCGTAGAAGGAATAAATCTGATCTATTGCTCCATCAATCACCACAAGGGCTCATGGACCTGCTTTGAACAGATCAAAAATTGGCTGCGGCTTCTTTTTTTTTTTATTCTTTAGAACGCCATCAAAAACAGGAGGATGAAACAGGAGCCAGGAATTATTGATCTCTTACAACATGAAATATGTTACTTGAAGGCTCAGAAACCCAGTCTAATCCTGTTTCATCAGGAGCCCAGTGCTTAGTTCACACTCATAAGTCAATCTACTCTCTGTTCTTACAGACGTCTAGTATTTGTACACTGTGAGCCAGACCATCTTGAACACCACAGGCATTCAGATACTAGCAAATTTACAACAAGGCTTTTGGACAATGATCATGACATGATCATGACAATAAAAAAAATTATTAACTGCTGCACTGGAAGTTTTCTGCTCACTCACAGCTCTAAGTGTGATTATAGGAAAAGTAAAAAAAAACTCTGGGGGTCAATACCGGAAAAAGTACCTTGTCATTGTTTCCACATAAACTTGTACAAAATGACTTTCTGCAGCAGGCGATACTCAATTATTATCATTTGTTTCTAATAATGTCAAAAATATATGAACAAACTTCAACTCAATAAATAACTTGATGGTACATTATATTTCTTGATCCTTCAAGACAACCCAAGGGTAGCCATAGACAGCAAGACATGTAGGGAGGTAACTGGCTGTCATTTGTAGCATCAAGATATGCCACTGCTTCTTGCCAAATAGATTGAAGTTGGGCACCCATGGTTTACAACTCTACTTCCTTAGAGAAAGGAGGCACTAGAAAGAACCTGGAAAATCTCCTAAATACTGAATCCTCATCCAAGCTTTGTAGAAGGTTTTTGGACTTTGGCTGGAGCGAGCTATTTATGGTCAGTCTCATGGAGCATTCATTTGACTATCCTGGCTCAGAAACAAAGAAAATATGCAACTAAATATGCACCACGTAATTAATGATGAGTGGTAACCCAGAGTAACCAATCTTAGATCTGTTTTCATTAGCCTGACTACCCTACATTGCTGAAAGATTATGGATTACAAAACCGGTTTCCTGCACACAAGTATGTGTGACCCATCAGGATCTTTCATTGACTGGCTAACTTTTCCATGAAATAAAACAAACTATTGCCTTAAAAAATGATTAAAACAAGATTTAAACATCAAGCAGCTTGCACTTTATTCTGATTGTGACAGGTCACTAGGCCTGTATCAGCAATGCAGACTGACAAGAAGCTCCTTAATATGTTCACTCCGCATAGGTTACCCCACAGTGCTGGGTGGTCACATGTGGTTTTCCACCAGATACTGCAGCCTCATCTCTGTGTTCACACCGCATGAAATCATTGCAGTCTAATTAATGGGATGTTCGTATTTCACTTTTCAGGGATCAAATGTCACTTTCACATTAACTCAGCCATAACTGTGGATGACGTATTCAATTAACTAGTAAAATAAACAGCTCTTCCAGGGTCCTGTCAGTTAAACGGCGTATACATATCCTAAATTCCACTAGCAATGTGAATAATCCAAGACCAGCAATGTAGGCATCATTCAACATTGCGCTATACCAAGTTGGACCCTGACTTATTAAAACAGCTTTCAAAACATAGGGTCAGTCTTCATTGAGACCTCATTTTTAGCTTCATACTGCAAACACCAGTACTTTGAGCTTTTTCGACACCAGGGTGACCAATCAATTGCTGAGCATGGACAAATGGCAGAAGTACTTAGAACAGGGGTGGGAAACTCTAGCCCTCTAGTTGTTGTGGAACTACAACTCCCATGAAGCATTGCAAGACTGACAATTAGAGGCATGACTCCCAGAGGCAGGTTGGGATTTGTAGTTAAAACACAGCTAGAGATCCATAGTTGCCAGCCCCTGATTTAGAGAAAACCTACACTGAGAGAAATACAGAGATGCGACTACTGACCTCATTCTGAATATGCTAGTTGCCTGGCTGTCCCGGCGTTCTTTCTGGGACACTGGCTTGGAACACGCATGTACATCAGCAAAGTCAGAGCTTTAAGTCTAACTCAAATGACTGAATGCAATGAGTTCACTTAACAGCCAGGGAAGTAGCATCTGCACAAGAGAAAGCCCTCAACGGAAGGCTTCCTTTAGAACTCAATGCAGAGATTTTTCAGCATGCTGGAGTAATATGGCTAACTAAAGGATCATGCCTCTCTCATCGAAGAAAAAAAAAAAGTCCTGATGAATGCTCAGCAATAGTGCAAACTACATACAGAAATGGTGCAAAAAAATGTGCAAGCCTCCCACATCTCTTTGGAATTGCTGGGCAATCTCTTTTACAGAGAGACCTCCAGGAAAAAAAGATTTACATCTTGTTAAGGTGCCATCACAAAGCTAAAAAGTATTTTCTGCAGAATTGTTTTCACGGTTGTGATAACCCAAGCACAGTTAAATATATTCTACATCCAAAGCCCCCTCTCATCTCAGCCACCATCCAGACTGGAAACCTGAGACAGCAAATGAATTTCTAATATGTAATCTCCGAATGCAAACATTCCCAAGTCACTTTTTCCAAAGCCAGCTGTCCGAATGAGACTTTTCTTTGTCTCGCACTTTTCCTAAAAGCGGTAAAAGTTTGTGTAAAAGCCTCAGTGTGAAGAATTCCAACATAAACATCCGCAGTATCTGTTGGTATCTTGGAAGGACAGGGATCTGCGGCAGAGGAAGCAGAGCCGCCTGTGCACTACCCCCCATTCAAGGTTCATGCAATCCCCCCCTCAGTCCCAGCACAAGCCTGCCACTCTCACATGGACATGTTGTATCTCTTACCTCTCCTTCCTCCAGCCATGGTGGCAGATCTTCAGCAGAGCACAGCTGCCCCAGGAAAGGCACACACCGTATGGGCTGCAAGATTCACGCACAGATGATTAGCGGACGCAGATAGGAGCGCAGAAGACTTTTGGCTCAGGGTTCTTGTTAAACTGATCAAGTTTGAAAATGCTGCTCTCCTCCCCTCTCTTTGCTTGCTGCCTCCCACCCCCATCCTCTTGTCAGGACGTTCCCCCGCCTCCCAGCATTGACTGTATTTCCAGCCTACTGACTCAATCTGTCCCTTCACCGGCCTCAGAGAAGAGGCAGTGCACACAGGTTGCCCAGACTAGTCAGCGACCACCAACATACTGCAGGAAACACATGCATCTTCTGTACCTGTCAGTCCTCTGATGTGCTGGAATGTCAATCTGAGCAGTCAGTACAATACCTCCAGCGCACACTTCTAGCTAGAATCCAAGATTGGTAAACAAACCATTGTCAGCTGTAGCTTATTTAAATGTTTTGTGATCTGGGATACAAACAGCTAAAACAAAGACCTGGATGTATACATTTTAAAAGGAGGTTTGTACTTTTGCCACATTAGGCAAAGTAACAGGTTCACTGCAAAGCTGGTACCATGAGCTGCCTGTACTTACCTCTCCTGCAGGCAGGACCCAAATCTACCCAAAATGCTGTGTATGTATTTAAATATATACCAAGTGGGAACTAAATGCAGGGTTAAAACAAATAATGCACCCCACGTAACAGCACCTGGGATTGGCGAATTTGCTCGGGAACTTTGGGGCAGCAGAAGGATGTGTTAAGTGTACACCATAGGCAGCAGGTTTTTCTTGGAGCTCCAGTAGCAGGTATGCATGGCAAAGATAAGGAGGAAGTACAGGCAGCTTTTTGTACCTGTGACCTAGGGCGTCTGGTACAGGAAAACGCAGTGGGCTTTTAAGAGACCCTGTCAGGTTTCTAAGAGCCTATACACACTTGTCAGTTTTCATGCAGCAAAACTCACGCATTTTGCTGCATGAAGATGCACTGCAGGTAGAAAATACCATTACTTCTTATGTGGCTGGTTCACATCTATGTGATAACGTTTAGCCCTGGTTCACACCCAGGCGTTTTTGAGCAGTTTGAAAAGCGCTTTTAACTGCCCAACACAAGAAATCCCATGATTTTCAATGGTCCTGGTTCACACCTGAGCAGAAAAACGCTTAGCAGGAAAATGCCAGACACCTGAAAAGATGCAGGAGCTTATTTGGGCAGTTAAAAGCGCTTCTATGCCCCATACACTTCATTGGAAATGCCCAAAAACGCGCAACAGAAGCATGCTGCACATTTTCTTGAGCGTTTGTGCATTTATACATGCGTTCTTCCATTACCTACAATGGTTTATGAGCTGCCAAACAAAACGCGCGTCTTCATGTACACGCGTTAAAACGTGCAAATGTGAACAACACGCATAAACACGCAAATAACCACATGCTGCTAACACGTTGGTGCCACCTAGTTGTGAACCAGGGCTTAGTGTGAAAGGGAAATGATATGGGCCCATTTACACATACGCATGTGCATTACCACGCATGCCGCATACACAGAGAACATTGTGAATCCAGCCTTAAAAGAGAACTATGGGGTAAGTGTTTTTCCCCATAGTTCTCCTAAGGATCACGGGAGGACACAAACTAGCGTTCTCCCGTGACCCAAAGCTCAGTATACCGCGAGCTGTATACTGAGACCCCCGCAGCCGGGACGGATCCCGGCATTACTTGTCGAGATCCACCCAGCCACGTGATTGACAGTTAGCTCTGCCTATCTAGAGGCAGAGCCAGCTGTATCCGCCCCCTCCCCCGTCCGTTCCGCCAGTCAGCGCTGATGGATTGAAGCGGGGAGGGGGGAATCCCTGCAGGGGGCCGTGAGTGACAGTCACGGCTCTCTGTAGTGACAGGATCGAGGAGTGAGCGACTGTATGTGTTCGCTCACTTCCCGATCTATTGAGCTGACGCGTGACAGTTTTATTGTCACACGTCGGCTCGAACTAGGAGGTGAGCAAAAATCCCTCACCTCATAGTTCTCCTTTAATTCAGCAGGTCCCTGCAATCGAACACATAGTATACTCGCCTCTGCGACAGCCTGTTTCTTCTAGCTCTCCTATGTTCCAGAGCCGCAGCCTTGGAAAGCCTCTTTGGCATTTGACACTTCCAGGAGTATCAGGTACCTGTTTAACTGCCACGCTGGTTCATTCCTCTGACCCCTATATCACTGTTAAGTCCTTCAGTGCTGTAAGGCATCGTGGTAAACAACCAGTGCACTCGAGTTCCTTTGACGATTGCAGTCTCTTTTTACTATGAAAAGTGAAGAACTTTAAACTGTATGTGTTCCACATTTTATGGTTTTTAGATTGTAAGCTCACACGAGCAGGGTCCTCCTAACCTTCTGGTCTTGAATTGTATTGTAACTGTACTGTCTCACTTTATTTTTTGTAAAGGGCTGCGCACACTGGTGCCATTTACATTCTGTATAAAAATAATCACACTGGGTCCTGGAAACAATTGGTTCACCGAACAGCACAGTAAAAGAAAAATCGCCTACCAATATTTTTACTTTTGTGATATTACATTTGTGTGTTTTTATTTTTTTGTGCAGTCCACAAGCACTCTTTAGAATGGGGTTGGGCAGGCTATTGACTCATCTGTTGCTGTCAGCTGAGTGTAAAATCCCAGCACAAAAGAATATATCTCTCATCAGCGAGTACAAAAGAGCCAACATTGGGCTTTCTGCACAGCAGGGGAGGTGAAAATGTGCCGGGTTTAACATTGCCTTACTGTGACACGCTGTTAATGCACTCATCATGACAACAGCACCTCTGCCTCAATGGGACAATCAACCTTGTGTGGCTCACATTGACCAGATTCTAACTTTCTTGTTCATCTTAAACTAGCAAAATAACAAATGGAATTGGGTTGCTGTGGGCAGCACAGGCACTGTGTTATCAAAGACAGTTAAAAAGAAAATGGCAGAGAACAAAAAAATATATACGGTATTTCCACCTTGATGTATTTAGTGACTAACTAAAAAATATTAAAAAGATACAAGCTTTTGGAGCTCCTTCTTCAGGCATAATGACAAATATTACAATCTGATTTTTTTTTAAATCTGTCATTATAATTGAAGAAAGTACTTTAGAGCTCTGGAATCTTTTTAATATTATTAGTTAGCCACTAAAATATATCACTGCATTAGTTTTTGTCTTCTCTACATGTGTAAAGGCCTTTGAAATATAATACACAGGGCTAGTAAACACCGTTGGACTATTGGTTCTCCGGCAGATGAATGGTTGAGGATTATCTAAAACTAGATTAGCAATCTTTATTTTAATAGACTGCCCCCTTTAATAACATGCTGCCCTGTCTAGGTTGGCCTCTTGAACCCCTATACAATTGTCAAGATCATTAATGTCGTGGCAATGGACCCGAAATTGTTTGCTCTTTTGGCATCATGCAAGCCCTGTCCTTGGTAACACTCTTGTTTTTACCAAATGGATTCCATTCTTCTTCTTATTGGATGTAGAAAACGAAGCAATGTCCAAGTGTACCAAAAGTGAACTACAGCTTTAAAAATTCACCTCACAGTGGAGCTCCTGCCACACTGCAAGGGTTAAATGTTCATTTCATCTAGGGGGTGATGAAAAAGGTAAAATACTTGCCTTATTCATCGCTCCCCCGGCAGTTGGCACTCTTCTTAACTATCCAACACTCCCAGGATGTGAAAGGACCTTGGTGTCCTCATGTGCAAAGAAGAATTGCTGTCCCCGCATTGCATGTGACAAACATTAAAGGTGGAGAAGAGGGGGCGGCTTTGAGAGGCCGGTGGTACAAATCGAAAACCTGCATGAGCGAGGAACAAGGCAAGTAATTCAACGTATTCATCACCTCCTTGACTAAACGAGAGAGAGAGAGAGAGAGAGAGAGAGGAGAGAGAGGGGGGGAGAGGGGGAGAGAGAGTGTGTGTGTGTGTGTGTGTGGTGGGGGGAGCACTGCAAGGTGAATTTTTAGGACATATTCACACCACATCCAGATCTTCTCCAGACCAGACCGTTTCCGGACCCAAAATGCATACTAATGTATACCTAGACTATTTCTGGCCTCTGTTTACACCAGTGCAGTCTGTTCCAGACCAGACCAGAAAAATACTGCAGGTCTCATTTTGTCTGGTCTGGAATGCACTGGAACTGTGGGCAGGTTCACACCATTTTCCGGACCAGATCTGGTCCAGAAAATGGTGTGAACCTGCCCTTAAACAGTTATTGGTCAAAGAAAACAAACAAATTGCAGTAACCCACTCAAAAACTTCCAATGCCCTGTATTCTTGAAACTTGGCTCTGATTGGCTGCTATGACTTTCTGCACGTCATACTTCATTTCAATTTGCCCAGTAATTAAATATCTTTGACGAACTTTAAAATAATTGCGTATACTTCCTGTAACCGGAAAACAGCACCTTTTCATAAAACACAATAAAACGCAATCAGCTCCTACATATTACGCAGGCGGTATATACGTACAGACTACGCGCATCTATAACAACAGTCGACAGCAAAGACACAAAGATGTTCATGCAAAAAAAACAACATTCTGTTTTGCGAACACGCAGACTAATGAAGAAATAAAACAGAGTCATTAAAATCATTAAAATAACGATCCACATTAAGTAATATTGTCTAACTTGTCCTAAATGGAACATTTGCTGGTTAACACCAAATTTACATTACAAATTTCCATTACAAAATTTCCATTGTCTGCTCCACTTTTCAAAATGGTCCTTAAAAACATAAGTGCGGAGTAAATGCTTATCATTACATATGGCAGTAATTACCCGTCATGCCAGGATGTGTTATTATCTAATCTTCAGCGCTCGCTGTAGCTGTCACTTCACCACACTGCACACCATGCATTATTCATGTGGCCTAAAATGCAGGCGAGTCGAATATATCCCTTAAACACATGTATCTTATATTAAAACCATTTCACGGTGGAACTGGGTCTGTGGAATCAATATTTAATGTGCCATTAAATACATTGAAAATTTAAAAAAATATATATATATTACGAATTGGTAAAGATCTTTATTTTCGCTTTGTGTACCACTTTTGTAA